GTTTAAAAATCAGTAAAAATCCACTATTGAGAAACAGCAAAAATCATAATTTTAGCCCTCAACTTGACCCCCCTGGAACTTTGCCAAAATGCAATTAGACTGAAAACAAAATGCATTTTGAAACAAACCTTATAAAGGCAATCTCAAGTACAAAGTTTGAGAAAAATCTATTTCTTGATCCAAAGAGGTCAAAGAGGTTCTTACAGAGACTGCCTCTTAATTGTCCCTCATTATTGGTACCTTTACAATGAACATCGCCATCTCTACTGGTAAATTGATGAAATTGAACTATAGACGCTTTGTAAAAAATTAAACATCATAAAGCTTACAGGAATGGTTTCCATTAAAGAACTTGCCAAATTTGTTTCTTTCAAAGATTTGTTCCATGATCATATAATCATAAATTCATACTCAAACTGAATATTTAAACTTCAAATATTCCTAATGATTGCTTCAGAATTCTGTTCCAATGCGATGTGTACTGTAAAAAAATCTGTAATACTTTTATTGCTTAACAGCACTAGGTTAGCACAAAGGGTTATTGAAACAGCTGCCTTTAATAAAATCATGCAAGAAGTTCATAAATCTGACTCCTTTTGCTAAAAAAAACCATAAACGTCCACCTGACCTACAGGCAAAGACAACAAAAAGGTATAAAAGGGACCCAGAAATATGGCAAAAACAGTGTTAGGTCACAACAAGATTAAAAAAAAGTAAAGTAAATCTTTAAAAAGTGGCCACAATTTCCAAAATACACAAGTTAACAAGTAAAGTTCTTACTATATTTTTCTTACATATTTGAAGAAAAAAATCCTTAGGAACTGCCAAAACTACAGCCCAAATCACTAAAAAAACCACAACTGTTTTTTATTATCCACCGAAAAAGGGGGCATGCCCCCCCCCCCCTGTTCCGCAGTCTCTGTAGAGCACTCTGTAGAATTAATTGGTTGCCCATTAACAAAATTGCAAAACTCCCTTCCCTTGTGGTTATTTGAGCACTCACATGTGAGATTAAGTAATATGATTTGATACATTTTTTCCTTCTTGTTGTCCTATTTACTACATGCAGTAAATTTAAAATTTCATTCATACTGATCCTAAAGTCTCAACTCCTAATATAACAAATCCTTGCTCAGTTCCTAAAATTTGATTGTGTGGTTGTTCCCTTCTAATTCATAAAGGATGGGTTAATTACAGTGGAATATCAGGAATATCTAGGTTCGTGGTAGTGAATCAAATTTTCCATTGTGTGCGAGTTAATACTTACTTTTATATCTCATTTGTGTCGGTTTTCTTTGATCGTCCGAGGTTTATAACTAGCTAATATACCTTGAATAAATAATTACATCACACTTTTCAACAAAATACGAGAATTTTTCATCAAACATTTTTGAAAATGACAAAATATGTTAGAAAACCTCCACAAATGAGATATAAGTTAGTTATAAACCTCAAAAGTCGGTTTATAGATGATATATTACCCTCGGACGCTGCGCGTCCTCGGGGGCAATATATCAGTTATGTTTAACTACTTTCGGTCACAAGCCATTCGCATCATATTACGACCCATCGTTCTAGTATAAATATCTCGGCGAGTATTGACCCCCCTTTTAAATAAAACCCACCATTGAAATCCTCACAAAATAACCTTTCGAACGGGGGGTCAAGTGCCGTCAAAACATTACACAAACCGAAACAATCATATATTTACTCACCGCTTGACCAAAGATTCTAAATTTCATATCCACAAAATCTTGAATATCCCTTGAACTTTTCGTCATTTTCTGAACGGCTATATGTGTAAAATACTCTTTGTATCCAAGCGCTTTCGTGTAGAAAGTTTCGTATGTATACGCCGACTAGAAATATTTATTTTGAATTTTTCAAGATATCGGGTTTTACTCGCACTTGCGAACATTGCGCAATAATTGGCCAATAAGAAGCTCCTGTTGGCCGGTATGACGTCAAACTCACGCGTGTAGGTGCAATTTGACCTTGCGAATCCATTTCTGGCCTTTCCAGGGTCATATGATACAAACGTCGCATTGTTTTGACGGTTTTCAGACGTATTTCCGGTTGGGATTAACTCACTTCGAGCTCACAGTCGGACAAGAAATGGAAATATACTGATAAAAGATACAGATTTGAAGATACAGGCTTGCAAATAACACTCTAAATAGTGTTTTTGATGGGGATTCGAACAAGACTATTACAAAGACGATATGTGCGAAGGGGCCGAAGTTATTTTCAGCGAAAGGTATGGCTAGTCTATATTTTGTTCAGACAATTGCGTAATTTGATACAATATTATCGTGTTTGACTTTCAAAGGCCCATAAATCGTTACAATGTTAATAATGACTATAACTATCGTTTGGAACTAGTCTATCTTTTATTTCTGAATCAATTGGTGGTATTTCTGTCTTCATAGCATGCACTGAACCGAAGGTATGAAATTTATAGCCGTCGATCGCTCAGGATCGATACAACTGGGTTGTGATGCAAAAGAGTTAACCTCCTTCTCGGTTTATAACTCTAACATGCCAGCACTTCTATATTATAATTGCTTTGTTCCTACCACAGGCTTTAGGACAAATTCAATTCGACAACAATAGTATTCTATCTAAATAGCAGTTAAAATAAAGTGTACGGGCACCTGAACTGTTCAATATCTTGCTTCTGTATCCATAAAACATTTACATATATGCAAATGCTCTATATTTTCAAAATCCGCCATATTATTTACATTAGAACCCAAGCTTTCGCCGTTTCGCGGTTCACATGAAATATTACGTCGGTGATTTTCACCAATAATAAGAGGGTAGGATCATCCAATTGTTCAAGCGCGAGGAAACCATGCTTCCATATATGGCACAAACGTGTCCCCAACTTCCTTATATGGCACAAACGTGTCCCCAAAATTACTTTATCGAAGCCGTTATGATGTCATAAGATTCCTCCTGCTCGGAACGATTTGAACAGGTCACGTGGTACAGAACCCAGACAGCTGATTGGGTTAGCGAGTGACAACACCCACTTTAATCCTACCCTCTTATTATTAGTGAAAATCACTGACGTTAATATTCTGTGTGAACCGTGAAAGCTTGGGTTCTAATGTAAATAAATATGGCGGATTTTCAAAATATACAGCATTTGCATATATGTAAATGTTTTATGGATATAGAAGCAAGATATTGAACAGTTCAGGTGCCGTACACTTTATTTTAACTGTTATTTAGATAGAATAGTATTGTTGTTGAATTGAATTTGTCCTAAAGCCTGTGTTCCTACTGACAAAATTGCTTTGTCCCTTCTAATCAGATTGAACACACACATCCCGAAATTGTACAGTTAGTACTCTTGATATTGTCTTTTTGCCCATCGAACTGATAACACAATTTGTGTAAATTGCCAGGAACCTCAAAAGATTGTTCTAGGGCAAAAAGAAGTATACAAAAGGAAAAAAGGAGAACTGCAACCATGCAATTCCACTGATAATGGCTATTACATTTCAATCCTTGACAGCCTGGAATCACTTTTAAATGACGAGTTTGTGTTAGAACAGGTAGAATGGGAAATGTGTTATACATGTACATATGTAGGGAAACACATGGTGGTCAACTTTACATAATATCGACTCTTATGATTTAAGGGAGCAAGCAAATTATGCTCAATTGCATGTATTTGCCACCAAACACAAGGTCAACACATACAATAGTGAACTTAACCCACTCCAATAACTGTTTCCTTTTCGACTTGACCACCATGTGTCAAGAGTTCAATTTAGTGACGTCACATGAAAATAAAGAATAAGACCTACAACGTGCATGCTCCTTTTCTTAAGAACCATTTATGTCAAACCTAATGTACCAAGGGTGTTGTGGCTGACCTTTATTACCATGTTCTCAAACTAGACATACCGAAGCTCCCCTAGAGGATGGAATGACCTTTTCACCAGGTTAATTGGCTTACGATGGTCACATTTTTTTACTTTCATCTGACCCCATATTCCAGCTAGTACTGAGTAAATTACTCCTTTTCACCTGTATGGGGTTGGAATCAGTGCAATTTTATGCAGATGGGATCAAAACCAAAGAAAAACAGATAGATTCACGTAATACTTCTTATTTAATTTAAAGGTGGAAAATCCTCATAAGAGCACAGATGACCTTATTAGAGATTATTGTGATGGGGAACAATTCCGAAATCACCCGCTGTTTTCAGTTGACTCAAAAGCACTGCAAATCATGGTGTATTATGATGACCTAGAAACCTGTAATCCACTTGGATCAAGGGCAACTTGAACATAAAGAAATATGGGATAGACGCTGTTCTTCAACCATTCATGGCAGACTTACAAAAGCTAGAACAGGCAAATATATCTACAATTGATGAGTAATAGTGTATTCATAATTTCTTTCATTGCCAGTACTGTAGCTGAGAATAGTAACCTGCATGTAACCTGTTAGGGATGCCAAATGTATAATTCAAGTATTCCAGAATATATAATCAGTTTTCTACACATTTTAGGATGAAGGTCACAAATTCCATATCAATGGTTCAGTGAGGAGGTTCCGTGGATCAGAGGGTTAAACTAATTTAAGCATTATTATTTGCATGGCAAAGGACTCAGATGGTACTCTGTCTTAATGCCGGCCAGGACAATATTTTGGTTAATATTAGCTTATCTTGATATATAATCACCTTAGATCTGATATCATCATCAATTCCAAGGCAGTGACGGCACATACAATGTGCCTGACAACCCTCTTTGAAACCTCCTAATAATTGAGAGCCAGGATAATCACCAGATGCATCATGACAATGGTAAATAGTTTTGTCAACCCAATTAAGTTGCAATAGCCTACCACAGGCAAGTAAAATGTCTGCTGTTATAGATAGATAAAATTTAATTGTCTTGCAACCGAGCAAAATACTATTAAAGTGATGCATGTTACTAATGGCACATTGCCACATGAAGGGTTAATTAAACTTCAAACACATGGTATGCTGTTCAAACTTATCTTTAATTTTTAGTTTCATGAGAAATATTTTGTGCTGCGCACAAAAGATGGCTATGACCAATGCTGTGACCAAGTTTTGGCATTTGGTGAACATTTTAGCAAAACATATGGCATAAATAGAAGATCTATTCTCAATGAAAGCACATTTTTTCATGTTGTTGGTGGCCTACCTACAGATGCCATGCATGATATATTAGAAGGTGTCTTACATTATGAAATGAAAGAGATGTTGAAAGATTTCATCAAAGCCCATCACATGTTCACCTTAGAAGATCTGAATAGCAGAATCGCCAGATTTGATTTTGGATACCACAATGATAAGAACAAACCTTCACCTATTACGGAACAAAAATTATCATCAAATGATCACAGTCTAAAACAACATGGTTAGCTTAAAGTCAGTTGTAACTGTTATAAACCCATGTTATCAGCTACAGGTAGCCTGTGTTGCAGTCGGCCTTGGATTCATATCCAAAATACATGAATATAAATCCCAAAACAACCCTCATCCTAACACTAACCCTGTCCTAATTTTATATGTCGTACCTTCAAAAACTATCCGTCAATTTGTTCTGTTAAATGCATGCAATGCGCCCTGTGAGCCAGCCCTACTATTTTACTCTATCTATATAACGCCAATCGATTTTACTCGTCAAGGGAATTAATGAGTTATTAATTAATATATTTTTATAGCTGTTCAGATGTGGTGCTTGTCCAACCACCTACCATTAATCATAGGTGACTTGATTTCCCCAGACAATGCTAAGTGGCAGCTGTACTTGATCTTGTTGGAAATCACGTCAATTTGCTTTTCCCCAACATTGTCAAAGGAGCAAATAGCATACCTTCAAGTGCTAATTGAAGACCACCACACTGAGTTCTGCAACCTTTACCCAGGGTGCTCCATTATTCCAAAGATGCACTTTATGATTCACATGCCCAGTGTTATGTTAAGGTAAGATGGGAGTAAAAACAGTATTACTAGATACGTATCATTGCCAATGCCTTCGCCCAGTGGACCATGGGAAATTTTTAACAAGGTAGCAACCCACCATCCCTGGCTACTAACTTTTGGAATGACCCATGATTTTAGCCTACAGTATATCACAGAATAACCTGAATCTTTTCCCTGGCTACAAACGTCTGGCCAAAAGGCCTTGAAAGGACGCGCTAAATTTGGCTAAAATGGGTCACTCCCAAAAATATCCATACCTCTGCATGGATGAAATTGGAAGCTTTAGCCCTTCAGATATCCTAATACACTTCACTATTATCAGAAACAGATTTTCTCGCTCCCCCTTAGCAGCAGAAACTTCCTCCATGGGAGGGGTGTGGATCTTTTCTGGAATGACCCAACTGAATATCTTACAATCAATTACTTTTAGCCTGGGACCACTTGTTCGATCATGGTGTATGCGCTACGAAGCAAAACATCATTACTTTAAGAAATTGAGCACAGTAGTTGTCAACTTCACTAACCTGCCATATACTCTATCAATGTGTCACCAACGTTGGATGTGCTACAAAATGAATTCATCAGGGAACTACGAATCGTCAATTTTGGAAAAGGGTATTGAGATTGGAGCAGGTAATTGCCCTAGTCAGTGTAATTTAAAGTAAATTAAAATTTTGTATTTATTAGGTATAGGTATATGCACTGCCTCATTTTTTTATAAAAATATGTACTTATTATATTATGATTTGCAGAGTGTACCCTATTGAAGCCCTTATTCTGCCCTCCTATTTCTATTTTCACTGAATGATAATATATGCAGCCTGGCTAGTAATATGCTTGTCTTTGAGAAACATTGCAAGGTCAGCAAAACAAGTCGTAGTCACCAAATGTTTAACAGGTAGGCCTGGGCAAAGCTGCTGGCAGAAAAACAAAAAAAATGTACGTATAATACGTATTGAGTACATATACTTCCCATGTAACTTAACAGTGATTGAGGTCTTCAATGAAATTATGCAACAAACAGCAGCATAATTTCTGAACATCTATTTCTATGCTGCTGGTACAACAATTAGCGCTGGTGACTTGTTATACTACCAAGCACTAAAAGAACAACATGAGCCATTACAACAAACAACAGTTATTACAAAGTAAGTATAAGGATATGGATTTAAGTAAATTGACAATCTTATCGACATTCATGGCTTAATTCCAAAATACAGTAAGCAAGCAGTTCCCAGAAAGAGGTTTGGCACTGGCGTTACAGGGTGTGGCTTTGCTAGTAACGAGACAAAGAAGAAAACTGCACAGAATGAATACACTTGTTGTGATACAAAATGTTGAAGTTAGAATTAGTCATGCATCCCCTCACTTAAAAACATTCACAATGTTCTTATAACTACAACAGTGTTTTGTATTCTTTTCTAGACCAAAATGGATTTCAGTTCAGGGAACAACATTTAAATGTGGATGTGTTCTTTGGATTGAAAATGATGAAGAAGAAATGCCAGTATTTGCCTTGTTAAAAGAAATATGCATGGTCCAGCAAAATGTGCATAATGTATGGTTCGTCCCTGAAGGCCTCCTGACAGCCACATTCAACAGACACATTAATGATTATGAAGTAAATGAGACAAATGGCACATTGCTAGTCAAGCAACAACATCTTCCATACAGCATGCCAATCTACATTTAATTACAGTGGCACATGCAGGCCAACAAGTGAAAACCTATGTTTGCCCAAAGTACCAAGTGCCAACTGTGTAGTGAGTACAACTGCATGACAAATGTGAAGAAAATGGATATATAACATTGAATCTACTACCTTTGTGTTACTGGCAGTAGTACCTAGACATATTGTTCCTTTTCAAATCACACCATGCATGACATTATTAACCTAAGCAGCGACATACTTTACCACACCCTCAAGACAACATACCCAATCTACATATAAAAAATATCATATCTAATATTATAAAGACTACTAGAGTCTGGAACACACTGCCAAGGGATTTAACTATTAATGGCATGGGAACTTTAAAGGAGTTTAAAAATAAGTTATAAAACTATTATAAAACAGCATCAGGCCTATTCAGGGTTTTGCTGAAGGTTTAGGATTGTGAGGGTTTCAAATGTCATCTGACTAAGTCACCTTCCGAAAATGGAAGTGGTCCTGCAGGTTGCAACATAAAAAGTTGAATCTGATAGTGATTTTTTCTATGTGTGTATATTTAATATAGTGTATTTTGCGATTGCCCTGCCAGTTTTTGTGTTAACTTTGTTTGAATCTGGCAAAGTTAAAAGCCATGTAAAGTGTGTAATGTAAACAAACGCTTTGTTTACATTTTGAACTCAGTGCTATAGTTGTAAAATATGATTAGAACAAAATATTTGCGAAGAAAATAAGGAATTTATGTAATGTGATTTATCACAGTAAAATCGTCTTATCTAAGGTGCTTGTATAAGCAAGAACTAGACATGGCGAAGTAGGTGTTAATCCGTTACAAAGATTAGAACTCTTAATATTATTAGCTTGGCGCCATACTTAAAAATAGAGCGCGAAAAGCTTGTAAGGGGGTGAGAGGTGTGGTTGGTATCATTATAAAATGGATAGCTATGCAAAGCAAGTATCATTCGACTACAACTGTACTGGTGAACAGATTAAATCTCAATAAATTCACTTTCAAGTCTCTATATCAGGTGAGATTAATTATATATTTTCTTAGTTATATATAGCTAACAATTTTTTTCTTTGATAATAATCACCAATGGCACTCCCAAAAGTTTTAGTTCTAGGTCATTCATTTGTACGTCGACTTAAGTCTGATCTGGAATATCGGTCCAACTTACGTATGTCCCGAACATTTAAACTTGAAGGGACGGCTCGAGTATATTTACACGGTATTGGCGGCCACACAGTACAAAAATTACGGCATCATGACCTAGCTGTAGTTTCACGCCATTCTCCTGATATTGTGGTGCTAGAAATTGGCACTAACGATTTATCCTCATTACCACTCGAGGTGGTAGGCTCACAGATCGAGGAGCTAGTCGTTCTGTGGCGTGAAACGTATAATAATAGTGGGTTTATAATAATAATAATAGTGGGTTTATTAATACACGTTCAATAGCAAAAAGCTAAATTACAACGTGTTTACATCGTCAGATATTAATTAGAATTAATTAGAATTATTACTTATTTAAAACTATTTACATCAATGGACCTATATGTATATTAAAATCGTTTATATATATATATATATATATATATATATATATATATGGAATTGTATAAAATGTATATAAGTCTTACTTTTCTAATTTAAAATTATATTCATTAATAGCATGAACTACAGGGCTGTTTCTAAAACGTTCAGTGTTGCAAAAAAAGTTATAAATCTTTTCACCATTTGTCCTAGTCTCTCTTTCCCTGATGTCACTCAGTTTCTTTGGCAATAGTCTGTGAAGTCTGTGTGATGGTTGTAACATGTTCTCAATTAAGGAGGCACATAAATTGTTTCTGCGTTCTTCTAAGGTCAGCAGATTGCTCTGAGATAATAGAAGTCCATAATCACAAAGGCCAGGATAAATTATTCGGAGGGCTCGTTTTTGGATTCTTTCTATGTTTTTCTTATGCATTTGTGTCAGACCACCACTCCAGATTTGTGCACCATACTCCAGAACAGAACGAATTACTGTACAATAGAAAGCTAACAGGTCATTTTTTGGTGCACCATAACTCTTTAAGATCTTCAAGAGGTAAAGTCGCTTAGCGCCTTTTTTTACAATATACTCAGTGTTGGTTTTCCATCTCATGTCATCGTCTATCCATATTCCTAACAATTTATACGACTTTACACGGGATATTTTATCGTCGCCAATATTAATCAGTGGTATTTCTGTTTTCTTCTTCCGAAAATCAATTAGCATTTCTTTACATTTTTCCCCATTCAGTTCCATACTCTCATCCTTTGCAAATTGCACTACGTTATTTACACTTCGTTGGGTGTTACCAATTGGGCTACCAGATGAATGTTGAGTTATGGTAATGACTTCGGACAATGTACTATCATCAACGAACATAGCTATATCTTGATCATCAGATGCTTCACATATCTGTTCCTGCTCATTAGGTATAGCGACTTGTGGGAGATGGTTAATTTTTAGGATAAATGCTATTGGACCCAGCTTGCTACCCTGTGGGACTCCACCCCTGATCTTTCGCAGGTCTGATTGCTCACCTTGAAATGATGTAAATTGCGATCTGCCATGTAGATAGGATGCAAACCAACCCACTAATGCGGGCCGTACACCGATTCCAGTGAAGGTCTCAAGAAGCTTGTTGTGATCTACAAGATCAAACGCCTTCCGAAAATGAAGAAAAACAATTCTAATGACCTTTCCTGGAGTGTGCATTGCCGAGTGCCATTTATGCAGTAAGTAGATCAAGGCTTGAACTGCAGATGTACCAGGAAG